CCCCCATTGGGTTGCCCAGGTCAGAGCTGGACTGGCCACAGCCTGTTCTCCATGAACAACTGGATGTTCCTTTTACATCACGTGTTATCACCTCCCAGCTGTCTCATGACTTTCCATCACAGTTAGAATAAAACCCACAGACCTTTCCACATTTTCCGGGCCCCACATCATCTCGTTCCTGGTTTCTCCTCCAATTTTATTTCCTACCGGCTTCCCCTAGCTTACCTTAACCAGCCCCTGGCTTCAGGTGCCCAAACAGCTCGGGGACCCAAGGCTGGGTGTGGCGCTGTCCTGCTTGGTGGGCTCCTCCCTGTCAGGCACCCTTTCTCCCTGGTGCTCTGCTGCCTGACCTGCTTACTTTTTCTTCTTAGCACTTCCTACCACATCACCCGAATGTTGATCTGCTTTTTATTTTAATTGTCACCTTCTCTCCATTAACACTAACTCCACAGAGGTTTTGTTTTCCCCTGTTCCACAGTATCAAGCGCGGTTTCCAGGACCCAGAGGAAACTGGAAAATCATTGTTGAGGAATGAACAAATAAATAAAGTGCCCACCCTCACTTCAAGTACTGGAATTTGGGGTGGCGTCTTTAAGGAGACACTTGTGGAAGATGGGGGAGTGGTGGAGAGAGACGTGCAGCTCACACACATGTGCCGTAAGGTGATCTTTCTCCATTACCCCAAACCTCCAGTGAGCTCCGTCCACACACAGCAGCTCGTGGGAAGAAGGCCTTGAAGACAAGTGTCCCCCGGAGGCAGTGGTAGGAGCCCTGAGCAAGTGGCCACTGTTAGAGTCCAAAGCAGAACCAGGAAACTGGCTGCCGTGTGGACTGCCCAAGAGAATGAGGGTCTCCCCTGAGTGTCCAGGGGCCTGGAGAGAAGACTGCACTTCCCCCAGAAGGGGGGTCAAAGGTCACATCATCCCATTGAGACCCAGAAGGAAGGATGGCCCCAAAGCCTGAGAGAGCCTGGTGGGTGGGGGAGACAGACATCTACACTGCGCTTTCTGCCCTTTTTCCAGAAATGTGGAGGGGGGTCTCGCAGCAGGGGGAAGACTGAACCCAGGTGGGCAGCCCTCCATTGAGGAGGTCGTTCCACCCACTGGGTAAACGCTGGGGCCCGGCACCCACCAGGTCCTCAGGCTGGCTGCCTTCCAAGCGGATCGCAAAGGTCCCGGCACTGCCAATAGGTCTATTGTTTCTGAACAGGACTCATTTCTGAGCTCTCTTAATCCTATTAGTCCTCAGAGGAATCATTAATAGAATCTCCTTAATCTGATTCTGGATGATCCAAAACCTTGGAAAGTTAAAAAGAAAAAAAAAGTAAAATCCATCTCTACTAACACCAGATTTTACTCAGGTCCCTACAGAATGTAAGTTAACATGCTGCTTCAAAAAGGGACCAGAGAGGTTGGGGTTGTAGCTCAGCGGTAGAGTGCTTGCCTCACAGTGTGAGGCACTGGGTTCAATTCTTAGCACCACATAAAAATAAATAAAATAAAGATAGATAAAAGTTTATCTTTAAAAAAAAAGGGAGGGGCAGAGAATGTCTAGGACTCAACCCACCACAGAGAGCTCACGGTCTGGCTTTGAGGGGCCTAGCTTCTCCCTTCCGCTTCCCTCTTCCGATAAGTTATCATTTCGAAGTTGTCACCCTCACCATGATGCCCACAGCAGAGCTCTTTCCTGTTCAGCTGTGGTAAGTCAAAACCTACTTCAGAGAACACACAGTCACCACTCTGAGGGGCTAAGAAAAGACTCGGGTTTTGTGTGTTTTTAGTTGTTTGAAAAAACAAAGAAAGAAAGAAGAAACCTCGAACGACTGAACCAGCAGCAGCCTTTTTTGTGTGAAACCTGTGTTCTGCTTTGGGGTTAGCTTTTCACAGAGGAGCAATGGCAGGTCCCACCTTCAAGGAACAAAGGTCCTGGGTTTCTGACATTCCCTACGTTCTGTGTTAGAGAAAAATAGCTCAGTGTTTCAAACGAGTTGTTAACACCTCTTCCCTGGAACCAGTACTGAAAGCACAGTAAGCTGTAGTCCTACCTTCAGAGGATCCCCAAGGTACCCTAGTGCAGCTGAGGCTTGGAGAGATCACGGGCCAGTGGTGTCACCATCAGCTGATGGCACCAAGTCATCTCAGGATGCCCAGCTCCATCCCCACTGCCTCTTGCTGTGACACAAGGTACTATTATCTAGAAGGTACCATTGACCAAAAAAAAATCATACATCTACCAGAAAACGTCCCATGACCCCTCCAATTGGCACACTTGATGGCTGAAGTCCAAACAGGAGGGAAAATTCAAGGGGGATTTCATCGTGGTGGCTGGAAATGCGGATCAGCAGCAAGGTAAGGGCAAAACCTCTCTGTCTCCATGACGTGTCCCGTCAGGAACCTCATCCTCCAGAGTAGATGAGAGAAGTTTTAGGAAGATTAGATGACACCTTCCAACCTGGAACTTTGGCTTTGTTCTTTAATTTATTCAACAAATACTTATTGACTATCTTCTAAATGATGGTTTTACTGAAGCAATGGTGATTTCCTTCAGCCCTCTCCTAACTAAACTCCTGGCCCTGCCAGAAACCAGCTCTGTCTTATTTTCCAATGCTGTGAATTAGTATGATTTAGTATCTGTGACCTCAAACTCCCATTGGATAATCTCCTCAAAGCTGGATTATTCACATGCTCAGGAGATGGCATGAACATGGATTCCCCAATTCCTAAATCATACACATCCAAAGCTGAGAGACCCTTGCCTTATAATTAAGGTTATTTAGTCAACAAATGTTTGTTGAATGCTTAATATGTACCAGGTACTGGGTTAAGTGATTGGGATAGAGGAATAACAAGGGAGAAAAGGCTCTGCTTTGGGAATTTCCATTCCAACAATTGAATATTGGAAAGAGAATAGGCCCTAGTTAGGAGGATCTGAGAGGGGATGACATTTGAACTCCATGTGAAAAACCCAAGCAGAGCAGCCTGGAGAAGGCAGTGGGGGCCGTGTGGTGTCCCACCTGCTCAGCTGTCTGCATCTACCTGGGAAATGGGAGGGAGACGGAGGGGAAAGACAGGTTTGGGTGCAGATTCATTCTGTTTGGTCTGGGTTGGGTGGTCTGTTTTGAAAGGGCTGCTTTAACACGAGTACTTAGAAATGATTCCTAGATGGGGCTGGTCTGGGGGTTAGGGGACAGAGAAAGATATTGTAAGTGGCCAAGAAGGAAAGAGGAAATGTGAGCCTAGTGGCAAATGGATGGCTCTCTTCCTGCAACCAGACCAAAGGAAGAGGGGGTGTCGGTGCAGATGGAATTGAGTTTTGTGTGGAAGGAAGGTTAAGTGGTGGGAGGTGGGGATGTGGCTGATGATGCAAGAGGGAAAATATGACAGAAATGACTCAAAGAACAAAAGCCCATCTCACTAGGGGACCGAAGAAAGGGTGCTGGCCGTGCTGAAGGGCCACTGGAGACCTGTGACCATGAATGTAAAGCAGTGGCTTTCAACCAAGGGTAACTGTCCTCCTCTCACCCCCAGGGACAATGTCTGGAGGTAGTTTTGGGTTGTCACGTGTTGGGTGGGCCGATGGGGGATGCTCCTGGCTTCTATCGAGCATCAGGCAGGGATGCGGCTAAGCACGGCACAACTCCCAGGAGGGCCCTCAGCACAAAGGATTGCCCGCCGTGGGATGTCAGCAGAGCCCAAACTGAGAAGCTCCGACCTAAAGTGGTGTCAGGGTTATGTCCACACCATCTCTGGAAGGCTGCACAAGGAGACGGTGATCTTCTATGAAAGTAGAAATGGGGCCGCAGGACAGAATGAGAAGAAGACTCTCATCCTATATCCTTGCGTTTTCTTTTAAAATTTGTACATGTATACATTGCCTATTCAAGTCAATCGAAAGATAGAAATAAGTCAGTAAGAAGTCCATAATGGATGGGCTGACTTAAATATACAATAAATGAAAATAAGATCAGCCATCCGGTTTGGGCAGTTTTTCTCCAGCAACCTGTGGCTGCTGATATGTCAACCGAAAGAGATGGATCCTTATGAGCAGAACACAAGGGAAGAAGGAATCATTCTGGAATTTAGAGTCTTTCCAAGGCACTGATTCTAATGGGCGGATGATGGAACTGGGCAGAGAGGAAAGTGAAGCTGGGGAAGGACCTGATGAACACATTAGGGAAAAGATAGTTTATTAATTAGAGATCTCAGTATTTTAAGAGTATTTTAGAAAAGAAGATGTTGGAGTAATTGAACTAGAACAATACGTGATAATGTTGTGAACAGAAGACACCAAAAACCAAAATCCAGAGGAGGAATTCTCAATGATAACAAAGTCAAGGGAAAGGCCATGATTGTGAGTAGCTGAAGAAAACAGCAAAAGGTCCTTGTGAGGAGTGGGAGGACACAAGTGACCAGGTGTCTGGAGGAACCGCCCCAAAAGAGCTTCTTCCCGAGAAGAAAGCACTTCTGAAAGAGAGTTTGTGAGCAATCTTGGGTAGCATTTCTTGATGTCCTACAGCATGTCAGATACTTCGTGCACAAATTAGCTCTTTTTGGCCCAAGAAAGTTCTAGTGATCTGTCTAGAGCCTGTGAAGTCAGTAGGTGGAAGAACAAAGATTCAAATTCTGTTTTTTTAGTTCCACCAGACCATGGCTCTGCCCCAGGAAGACACCTCGTCATCAAGTATCTAGAAAGCTGGGCAAGCTTAGCACCAGCAATTGCATTGATAATGGAAACTCTGGTTCACAGAGGACACAGACAGAAAAAGAGAGAAGAGCCTGGCACAGATGAAAGGATTTGCAGCACAGTTCTTCTCACCTTAAAAAATTCTCCTTAATGTGATCTGAAGTCACAATGAAGAAACCATAGATTTAAAAAAAAAAAAAAACAAAACTATCAAGCAAAAAACCCAAATCACCATAGATTGAAAAAAAAAACAAAACTAACAAGCAAAAAACCCAAATCTTGGTGATTTCCAAAACTTACACTCACAATACTTTTGTAGATGCTAAAGTGGAGCTTTTATTACATGTCAACCATTCATTAAAAATGCAAAAAAATAAATATTGGTTATATTAAAGGAAAACAGCATCAAGAGCTGAATGTCGGTGGGTGACCAACATTTTTGAAGACTATTACACTTGGTTGCCAAGAAGCATTCAAAACAGTTTTTCCTAAATACATACTTTATCATCTCACATTTGCTCTATGTATGTGACTCTTTAGACTGACTGACACTCTGTCTCGCTCTCTCTCTCACACACACACTCTCTCTCTCTCTCTCTCTCTCTCTCTCTCTCCCCCCCTTATAATTGCACTAGAGATGCATATGGTGTAGGAGTGGACCAAGTCCCCCAAACACTCCTTTCGCTTCTCTGTTAGCATGGCCTGGTAGCCCAGGATATGCATTTACAAGTAAAGATGCCACCAATGGGGTGCTGACCTCCTTGGGTCTCTTTAGCTTATCATGCGTGCCTGGTTCTCCTTCCCCGTCCCTGTCCATCCATGTTATAACCATGGATCTGAAGACAGCTTTCCCTGAGGTAGCAATTAGACCCACCCTGGGAGTTGTGTTCGAAGGTGTCCTCCTTTTCCACGTAAGTTGTTCTTGGCCACTTAACATGGGTCTAGAACTCCAGGCAGTGGCTTCTCTGTGTCCTGCACCTTTGCGTGGCAGCCCAAAGCTCTGGGTTCTTCAGCCATATTCCTCTTCCTCTCTGGCTCATGGACCTTGGGTGAGATGAGGAACAGCAGACCTGCTGGACTCTGTGGTCTCAAGGTCTTTGTGGTTATGTCTTTGCACTCGAACTCAATAGGCTTAAGAAGACCTTCATTCAGGCCAATGTCCCCAGTGCCTGTAACAAGGAACCACAGGGAGAGGATCCTCAAGTGCTTCTCTTAGAGCTTATATAGGCCAAAAAATGTCTTAGATTCCTCAAAATTGACCAGAGAGAGCTCAGATACGTTGACATATAAATGGTCATTACTGGTGAAGTTGAACACAGCCCCCAGATAGCTGCTGCGGGCCCACATCTGGCCAGTAGTGCAGTAGTTCATCATCTTGCCCTCCATCAGCACCAGGTCCTGGGGATACTTAGAGTTCTTCATGTAGACCTTGTGGCTCAGGGGCTGGTTGTTGCAGGACTGACCCCGGAAGTATATTTTGGAATACACAAAGTACAGCCCAGTGTCATTGATCACAAGGCCACCCTTCTGATACTTCACTCCGGAGATCAGGGAAATTCCGTAGGTGTCTTCCCATTCCAGCGGGCTGGACCTTGAGTTGGGCTTACCTGAAGTCAATCAGAGAGGAGCCGTCAGCAAGGAAAGCTCGTGCAGCCGACAAGCTAACTTCCCAGGCAAAACTACGGGCCTTTCCTTCCACAAATGTTCTATCCAGAGTGAGGGAGCTCCCACCGAACGGGCGGAGGGGTCAGAACGTGGCCCATCACTGAATTCTCTTTGTCAAATTGCCTGTATCAATCTTGTCATCTACACAATAGGGACAATAACAAATGCCCCCAGCCGACTGCAGTAAAAATTACTGAGATAATTTTAGCTCTCTAAAACACAGATTTTATGATCTTCAGAACTAGAAGCAACACTGCTAAGCTTTGTGGTCCCTCCCTGAAAGGAGAAGCCAAACCCGGGGAATTTAAAGAAGACATGGGTAGGACCTAAGGGATCCTTGCTCCATCTTCTCACCACAGCCAGGATTCTTCCACCCCTCTATCTGGGCTGAAATTCTCTATCCCTCACACCTCCTCCTATGTCCAAACCTTAATCAAAGAACTCGCTCCAGTACTGAACTTCAGGCTGTGTGCCTATATTTCCCTATGAGATGTCAAGCTCCTTTGGAGGCAGGAACCATGAGCCCTCTGTCTCCATGCCCTCAAAGCTTGGCACACAGCAGGTACTCCTGAAGTGTTTGCTGGTCTACCTGAGTCAACCCACAGCCTCTGCCTGAGAAACTGCAGAAGCAGTGGCACAGCACACGACCTTGTGTGACCTTCGTCTACTTCTCCTGTCTTTGTGGTTTCCAGTGGGACAGCCACCATTTCACCGCCCAAATTGTAATCCCACGCTGAAGCCCCAGGGCCAGGGTTGAGGCTGCCTCTCAATCATTTGGGTTCCAAATACTGTTGCTGGAAAGCGCTTGTCCCCAGAACTGGTCACGGAAACCATTCTGCGCTTTGCCAAAGGTTTTCCCAGCCCCCACCCGGGGCTTGCAAACACAGACCTGTTAAATGGGCCGCTCTCCTCAGTGCCTTTTTATCAGAGGGTGAACTGGGGTGGCCTGTATCACAGAGAGACAAAAGATGTACGTAAAAATGAGATGCCAGCTACTACCATGGTGGGACTCAATCCTATTTGAATACAAGATTTTAAAAGCATAGGTGGCGATATTCTGAGAGATTCTCAACAACAGTCTGTGTTTCAGAAACAGGTGGAACAAACTAAGCCAAATTGAAATAGACACATATGTTCATTGTAATGTTACACTGTGCATAAAACTGTTGTCTCAGTTACTTCGTTTAGAACTTCCCATAGTATTGGAGGTAGGGATTGTTGTCCTGACTTATGGTTGACAAAGTGAGCTTGGAAAATGGATGACTAGTCCAAGAAGACTCAGCATTCAGAGTCACCGTCTCCTGCTCTAATCCAGGGCTCTGTCCACTCTGGCTGTGCTGCCCCAGGGACACAGAGAAGAAGACTGCTAATGTGTCTCCTGGCTACCAGGTCTCTTCCTACTGGCACTGTACAATCTGCACCCACATTAATCATTCTAAGTCCTCAGCCACCGATGTCACTGAGACCTCAGACACCTCTGTGGCCCCACGTGATTTCAGCCTCACTTCCTCCTGCTCACTCCCACTGGACACTGCCCCGGCCCTCCGCCTGGGCCTGCACTCACGCCGTGCTGTCTGCCTGGATGCTGTCCCAGAGAGATTTCTGTGCCAAACTTCAATCCATTCTCTAAGCTCCATCGCAAATGTCTCCTTCTTGGGGAAACCTTCCCAGATTTAAAGTCAACTATGTTCTTTTTCTCCTCTGAAACCTAAGACCCCTCCGTTTTTACTTCTCCTGTCAGTTCTGACTCCCCTTTTCTAAGGAGATGTCCCCCATCGATTGCATTGAAAAATTTTGAGATAAATTTAGCTCTCTGAAACAAAGATCTTATGATCTTTAAAACTTGAAAGTTTTAAACTTGGTTGTCCCTCCCTGAAAGGAAAAGCCAAATCCAAGAAATTCTAAAGTTGGATAGGACCTTAGGGATCCTTGCTTAATGTAAAAATTGTCTTATCCCCCCCCCAAATAAACAGCCAGTTCCTCACTATACGCTGACTTCATCAGAGTGAGTTCACACGAAGCGTGCGCTCAGCAAGTGCTCAGCATATTAAATCAAAGGATTTGAAACTGATAATATTTTCCTAACCAGACACCGTTTCTCCGACCTTTAATACGTTAGCCAAGGTAGAAAGCTGTCACTTAGCTAATTAACTCAGCTAACTAAGACCTTCAGGAACGACTCACAGGAAAGATGCCTGTCCATCTCAGGCTAGTGATCAGCCTGTGAAAGTCCCCCAGGTGTGAAAACGGCCCTGTCCCCTGTGAACATGACCTGAGCAGTTGTGACCTCTTAGCACCCAAGACAGACCACCTGGAGGGAGGTGTGAGTGAGCAGGAAAGGCAAGACTGAGTTTCCTCTCCATTCCCATACCACAGCCATCCGGGCAGCTCTGCTGGCACGTGGCCACAAACGAACAGGAAATGGAACCGAAAACCACAGGTTCGCATCATGATATCCTTCAGAGCCTAGTGTAACACTCTCCTCATACAAGGTACTTACTCTAAACATCTGCTGGATAAATATTAGAAAGGCATCCTAGACAGTGGGGACTCCTTCCTGCACCAGGGCTTTCTACCTGCCGCTGGAAGCACCTACAGGCTTGCTCTTGTCTACCTTCCATGCATACTGGCTGAAACTGAAATTTAAGCAGGTCTTTTCCTCTTATGTCTTTCTTTGCATGTTTTATATCTCTTATTAGTAAAGTTAGTAATTTGATTTCCATATGATCATTCACCAATTTCTGGTCCACCTGGGTAGATGTAGAGAAGATAATTCTTTACTGCGGTTGGTAGACCTGACTCATCTTTTCATTTGACTTCAAAACACTAAAATAACTCCATGAAGTGGGTGAAAAATGAATAATTAGGTGCCCATCTCACAAGCCACATTCCACTGATTTTCAAAGTGATTGTACTTTAGAAATCCTCGCAGAGGCTTCCTTGTTCTATTAGTGCCCCCGGCTTGTGTACATCTGGGCTCTCTAACACTTAGGAACTTGGACACAGAACTTAGGCCCAGACATCCCAAAGATGCGGAGCTGCCCTGGGTCAACGGCAGTAGGCACATTCTGAGTCTCCACCAGCTGCACTGAAGATGGCCAGGGTTTGCTGTTGCCAGGAAACTTTCTACTAAGTTTCTAAGGATAAGATTTGCCTATCATCTTCGCGGAGGTATCCTGCTTGGCATCTTTTCCCCATTCCATGGTTATTACAGAGACGGGAGTTTCTCTATTTCATGAGGCACCAGACCATGTCCTGGAAGGACCTATAGGTGACAAGCCATCAGGAGACTTTCATCTAGCCCCAGTTCCCTGCTGATAGTCTTGGGCATATTATCTAATTCATCTGTTGTTTCTCTTCTAAAAAATAAGATATCTGGACCAGGGAAGCGCCCTTCTAATTCAAACCAGATCTAAAACTTCAGTGAATCTGTGTCTATGACAAATGAAGAATGCCCTGAACTTTATCTGTCTGCAGCTTCCTAAGCTCTGCCCTGATATCTCCCGAGGTCAGGGTTTCACGAGCCTTCTTTTTCCTGTCCCAGATCTCAGGCAAAGGGTTCTCCTTTGTTGTCAAAGGCAGTTCATGAGTCTTCTGTGGGTGAAGCTGAACTTCCCTTGAGGAACAGCTGAAGTGTACCCTTGGGTCCCCAGTGACTTCAAAAGAACCCCTACTGTGGGCGACTGATTGTCCACTTTTTGAAATCTTTGTCATGTCCTATAAAATACTTTAAAATAAAGCTTAGCTCTAATCATTTCTAGAGAGTTTAAAAGAGTGGAGGACATTCCCCCCAAACATCTCCCTTTTCCTCCCACGGAGTCACGGCCACTACCACCCGTCCCGGAACCAGGACACGTGAGAAAGGGCCAGGCCTGGGTCAGTGGTCTGGAGCTGGGGGCAAAGGCCCAGGTCTATTTTCCTTTTCAAAGCGAAGTGGAAGTTAGTTTGAATTATGAACAGTGCTCAGCTACCTGATTTTGAGCAAGTAAATTCACTTAATATTTTAAAATAGTTCAAGGAACCATATTGACCAGAGATTCAAAATTAGCCAGGATTCCTCTCATAGTATTCATAAACCTAAGAATGGGACAAAATTCAAGATATTCCACCAACTTTGTTCAGTTCTGAGGATCATCTTTGGGAACTCAGGGCTCTTGTATAAAAGGACTCACCTATTTGCTTCTCCAAAGATGGTTCTGTATTTCTTTGATAGATTGACTAGCAAAAGAAAAAGAGAAAAGTTGTGTAATTAGTTATCAAAGCAGAAGAGGCAGAATTGTCAACTAAAGCAAGTCCTAGAAAGATAATTCAGACACCTCAAACCCTTGCCTAACTTAGACTTCAGCCAAGCAATTGCGCCTCACTGTCCCTCAGTTTTGCGTTTTAGAATAGTACCGACATTTTAAAAATGTTTTCCAGGAAATTTAATTTGGTCTATGAGTCAGTTCCTTCTAAGCAAGACTCCAAATTATTTCAACTCCTCGAATCACTAGTTATGAGGTGGTAAATGGCTCAACCGACTGGCTTGATAACTGAGAAAGGAAGGACTGTTTGCCTTTGAGTCTTTACAAGAAAATATTCCCTTCCCTTGTGTGAGCCAACATTCCCTCGCCAACAGGAGGGTGACAACAGCCACTGGTTCGGAAGACAGGACAAGAAGGCCTGAGGAGCACCTCACAAGCAGGGCAGGGCTCCATCCACGTGGCTCACAGCTGCCGGCCACCCGCACTGCAGCAGAGCCGTCTTGCCCAGTGACTCCCGGGCACGGAAGCCCCCATACCAGCCTTACCTCGCGGAGTTCTGCCAGTTCCTTTTGCAGGTGGAAGAGCTGATACATTCCCAGGCCCAGTCCAACCAGGGCCACCAGCACCATAAAGAATATCACCAGGAGCCACAAGCCTGTGTTGTGGTCCCTGCTCTTCTTCAGAGGCGGTGGTGGCGGTGGTGGCAGTGGGGGCAGCGGAGGCAGTGGTGGAGGTGGCGGTGGAGGTGGGGGCGGGGGCCTCCGTTGACCTGGCCTTCTGGGCACAGAGGATGCACAGGCGAAAACTGACTCAGGAGGGGCCCAGGAAGAGCTGGCACTACTGTCCACCCAGTAGATCTGGGGATACGGGTAGTTCAAGGGCTGCTGCATGGCAGCCAGTGGCTCGGGTCAGCCGCAGGGAAGGGTTTTTGCTTCTCTCAATCCTGCGGGAGGTTGAGGTGTCGAGGTCGGGACTCCTGTTGCTGACTGCTCACGAGAAGGGAACGCAGCTGTCTTTATAGTGTTTCCATAAGTGAGGGAAACACCTCTCTCTCTCTCTCTCTCTCTCTCTCTCTCTCTCATTCTCTTTCTGTTTCTCTTGAAAGACACCCACTAGCTTTGTATCTGAATCTAAAAAGCCTCAAGAAGCTCAGAGTAAACCTCTGGAAGCTTCCGCCCACAAGTTTCTGATGAAAGCCTTCAAAGCTCTGCTTGCTGTCAGCACCCAAAGAGCTGGGAGGCAGTGCTCACCGTGCCCTGGACCAACAGAGCAGTCGGCACTGGGTGCAGCCCTGTGGGCATTAAATGGGACCCAGCTGCAGAGAGACGGACCAGTGGGGCCGGACCCTGGAGCCATGGCCAGAGAAGCCACCTGCACATCCTACCTTTAGCATGAGGAAACCCCCCCACCACTCCCCACACACGCCTTGGGTTTCCCACACCCAAGTGTGATTTACCCTGACATTGCACATCATCATAACTGACAGGTGGACACCTGCCCTGTCCACTCCACAGACCAGCTCAGAGGTGGTCAGAGGTTGCAAACCAGCTGCCCATGGACTTTGAGAAGCCTCAGAACTGCTTTGCTTACACTACACAATCTTTTTCCTTCATTAGTCACCCACTTTTAAAACTGGTACTGTACACATTAAAAATATATGTTTCCACTCTGTTTTGAAATATTAGAATATTGGGCACTCTGGAGGCTCTCTCTCTGCAAACCCAGGAAGCTACCCTAGGAATGAGACACAGGTCACCCAGGGCCACACCACTACACCGCCTTCCCCATGCAATAGCTGTTCTGGTCCCTGCAGGCATTTCTGCTCATAGTCCCTATTACAACTCCCAAATGAAATTCATGGTGCCCAGTTAATTGAATTTCAGATAAATAATTTTTAGGACAAGAATATCCTGAACATTGCATGGAAATAGTAAAAAATATTCATCGTTTATCATAAATTCAAATTCAACTGTGTGTCCTCCAATTTCTTGCTTTTGACTGAAGCTGGCAACTCTACTTGGGTAAACCTCGCCCTTTCCTCTGGCCTCACATAACCTTTATATGCCAATAACTTCTAAGAATTCAGCTTTAGTTCCAACCATTCTCCCATAGAAACCACAAACCTCCTACAAATTCTTATTTTCTATTTTATTGGAGTGCTCTACTTTTCAAATTTGATCAGTTTTTATACGATCTGGGATTTCTATGTGCTCATTCAGGCTTTTTCCACCTGCAGCAAACCAACACAGGACATATTATTTCCCTGTGACGTTCTGCCCATCCCACCCCACTCCCAACACAACCCCCTTCTCTCGAGGTCACTCCCTCTGGTGACAACCCCAGCTCCCCTCTCTGCCTCTGCCCCAGCCTTTGACTGGTGTCCCAGGACTGTTAAGGAGGTTCCCGTCACCCACCCACTCCCATCTTGCCAACCGCTGTGGCCTCTACTTCAGGCTGGGACGTCTCTGGTTTTCTAGGTGCTTCCACAAAAACTTCCAGGACTCTAAGAACAATGCTATATTTCTCATCTTCCTCTGCCCGGTGCCTCCTCCTGATTCATTCTGTGACAGAGGAAGCAGAAGTCCATAGCTCCCAAGCAGGAGCTGAACAAAGTGAAGAACAAGCAAAGACCAAGAGGGCAACTTTAAACACTGGCATCAGGCTTGGTGATGCCAGCGAACGTCACGTGTTGGCAAAATCCTAGAATCAACACCTGTACAAACAATAACAGGGCCCCATCAGCTTTTGGGGATACTGAAACCTTCTTAGGAGAAATAATTAAAGTATATCTTTAGCTCTGTGATTGCTGAATTTATAAGATTTGTCCTCAAGAGCTGGACTTAATAAATAAACCAAGTAATAAATCAACCAAGGCACCAACAGGCTGGCTCTGCCGACCACCTCCCACTCCTGGGAAACTCAAACTGGGTTCTTCTCCCAGCCCTTTCCCCACTCTTATTTGCACCTGCATCTCTCATTGCAGAACCCGAGTTCCTTGAGGAAGGTAGGAGAAGGATTCAGAGCTGCCCATCTGTTTCAGGAGAAGGAGGAGGAGTCGGCTGACCAGTTGCAGACAGTCACAGGGAACAAATTTTAGTGTAGGACCAAATCAGATAGCCCTCCTTGTACGGGTTGTGATGACTTCCTAAGTACCTTTCACTAGATGAAAATTCAAATTGTTTTTCTTTCTTTCTTTCTTTTTTTTTTTTGAGAGAATGAGTTTTTTAATATTCTTTTTTTTTTTTTAGTTTTTTGGTGGACACAACATCTTTGTTGGTATGTGGTGCTGAGGATCGAACCCGGGCCGCATGCATGCCAGGCGAGCGCGCTACCGCTTGAGCCACATCCCCAGCCCTCAAATTGTTTTTCACTGTGGTCCTTCTAACATTGTACCTTTTCCTTCAGAAATTGTCCTAACCCTCTAAAAACAGGGTTGAAACATTCTCCCAAAGCTTTGTGTGAGTCACAGGGAGGCTGGGAGGTCAGAGCAGTGAAGAGAAAGGGCTGCTCTTTCTGTCTGTCCAGTCCTGCAGAAGCAGACCAGGGCTCCAGAGGTGACTGGGCTGTAGCAGAGTGGTCCATCCTCAGAGAGCCGCTGCAAACCCTCCCGGACCTAGAGAAGACTCCCAAGAGCAGCTGCCGAGTCAGTAAAAGGCCAGGCCTTGCAGTCGTCTCGGAAGTGACCAAGGCCCCCGTGGGTGCTGAGCCGGAGTTCATTCACTCCCAAACGTGAACCCACGTATTTAATTTCACTAGGTCCCTCCAGACACTCATCTGCGTGGTCGGCCCCTTGGCACCAGCAGTTGCGTGAGGACTATCCTGTCCAGTCTTCCTTGGCTGCCTACTGTCCACCTTTCTAGTTTTTGCCAAGTGTCATGGCTACAAAGTCCTATCTCAAGGTCTCCTAAACTTCTTCTCTGTGGCTCCTTGTGAGTTTGAAAACCTGGCCCTATATCTGTTGGACATTCAAGCTACTTCCAGTTCATACGCCATGCCTGTTTTTAAACTGGGGTTCTTTTCTCCTTCCTGCTGAACTGTGGAATCTCTCATACTTTGTATTTTAGATATAAATCCACAGTGACCTTCGGATACTGAAAACATCTTGTCCCGTGCCATTGCCCATTTCCTCTTTAGGACCCTCTGGAGTTTGCTCTTGTTCGGGAGATGAGCAGGAGTCCTTGTGTATTATTTTCCAGGTATGAACTGGTTTTCCCAGCACAGCCCATCTTTCCTCTGCTGGATTCCAGTGGAGCATTTATCACATACCAAGATTCCTCTTGTAGCTGAACCACTTTACGGACCCTTGTTTCTTCTGTACCAGGAGCACGTAGTTATAGCCTCCACTTCTCCCCCATCCACGCGAGGGGAGGCAAGCCTCTGTGCTGGGAGCAGCGTGGCCTCTATTTCTAAGATGAGTGTGTTCAAGCTTCCAAGTGCAGTGATTGCTCCCTGTATTTAGCATTCGATCATTTACCTGTTTTGAGATTCACTCTTGGGCACACCTATGTGCACAATGTGAGTGTGATCACAAAATCAGGACGCTCAAGACCAGCCCGAGAGCAGCATCCCTGGTAAGAGCTGAGGGGCCGGCCTGCAGGGCAGTGGGTTGTGGGGCACGGCTCAGACAACATCAGAAGCTGGAAATGCTTGGCTCTTGTGGGCGGCCCTTTCTGATGCTTGAAATGCTTCACTGCAAAAACACATGTCACGGTGAGTATGTGGGAAAGCAGATCCACCCGGGCTGACTTAAATGTCAAAGTCGTTGCTTTTGTCACCCACTGTTTCCTTTGGTGCCTAGCATATGTTGGGGCATGCAGTTGGATGCCTCGAGAGACTTCCATTCCGGGGGTCCCATAAGAAGGCACCCTCTGAGTCTGAGGTGTGGCTTGCTGTCTGTCACAGACCTTGGGACCTCAGTTCGTGACTCAAGAGAGCCATGACTCTTGTGCTCTGCTGTTATTTCACAAGAAGATCTCTCCCCAGAGCCTTATTTGCCAACCAGCTGCAGCTCTGCTGTGTTCCTCTGCTCGGCGGCCACGACAGACTGTGGGCTGAACAGCGGACTGCTTCCTTGCACTCATGGAGGGTCCAAGTCTGAGATCAGGTGTCCGTGTGGTCGGTTCTCCCGAGGACTTCTCTCTGCGTGCTCGTGTGGTGGGTCTCTCTCTCTCTCTCAGGAAAGTAGGCCTCTCAGATTCAGGCCCCACCCTCGGGATCTCACCTCTCCTTAATTTAATCACCTCCTAAAAGTTCTTTTTCCAGACACACCTTGAAAATTAGGGCTTCCACACATGAACCCTGGAGGGAGACAGTTCAGTCCACAGCCACCGTCCACCAGCCTTCTGAAAGCTGCAAGGCTCTAGAGTAACACGGAGATCACAGCACCACGGACGTCCAGCCCTCTCCCTTATTTCACAGTTGTGGGCACTGGGCTTCAGAGAGATGAGCTGGCCCTCCAGGATCACCAGTAGAAGAGCGAGGAGGAAGGCCTGGCCTGACTCCTAGTGCTGCCCACCACATCCTAAGTGTGTGGAATTGAAACCCATGGGTTTGATCTTTGTTCAAGTCCATCCCACGCATCTCTGGCACCTGATGTGCACAAGGCAGCAGGGGATGCGAGGATGTGACCCGGTCAGGCACGGCTCCCGGAGGAGCCTCAGCGGGTCCTGTCCTTGTGTTGCCTTCACAGTCTTTAAAGTCCACTTGCACTTTCTGTCCCTCACAATCAAACACTGATTCAGTTTTCCTTTCGGATGGTGGGAAGGAAAGGGGGACAGAATGATGCGTCTGTTGAGCACCTGCTGGATGCCAGGCACTGTGCATGAACATTGTATACCTTACCTTATCTGGCTCTCGAGCAGCCTTCATGATTGTTCCTTTTTTAAAAAATTAATTGTTATGCGGCGCTGAGGATCAACCCAGTGCCTCATACATGCTAGGCAAGCACCCTGCCACTGAGCCCCAACCCCAGCCCCATTATTGTTCCCTTTTTATAAGTGATCCAGAGAAGCTGAGGAATCCATGAAGAAGCCGAGCTTGGATAGGAACCTGGATCTTTCCATCAGGCCACAAGGCTACTCTCGGAATCCTTCCCTCTTCTCACAGCTGTCCTTTCCTCCTGCAGATTCTCATGTGTCCTTGGGATGTCTTTGACAAGTAAGATTCCCCCCAACACATAACATCAAAATCCCTACTCACCCTTCCAGAGAATATGAATTCCCAATCACAGGGTCTTTCCAACCTTTGACCTCCCTGCCCCTTGCATTCCCACCCACCACTCTTCCACATCTCCTGCTGATATTAAAAAAGAAAATCCAAAACCACACTCTCAACTGCTAGCCATATTTACTGTGCTAAATTTACTGCATTTCAAGCACCAAACTCCCCTCCCCAGCAACAAGACAGCCCGGTGTTGTTGGTTCCTCAGGAATCTCTGTCCCCAACAGGAAACTCAGGAGGAGACTGTGGGCCACCCTTAGGGTCGTGCTCCTAGATGTCACTGCACCACACTGACCGCCTCCCCCTTCCTAGTCCTTTCCATTTCCATGGGGTCCCGCCACTGTACAAGCCCAGTCCTTGGTTCCTCCCCTCCGCTCACAGTGACCCCTATTTTATTTTTTTTTAGCTTCCTGGTTTGGACCCCATGGCTCCTCAAACCGAAGAGCCCCTTCCTCCTCCTGGCAGACTCTTTCTTTCTAAATCAGCTCCAACGTTACCTTCCCTGCACAGCCACTCAGGCACAGGGACT